TGTCCCCGGGGGCCGCCGCCGCCGCCGCTGCCGCCGCCGCCAGCCTAGAGCCGCCCGCCGAAGCCGAGCCGGCGCCCGGGCCCTCATCTCCGCCAGTCCCTGGGGGCGGCCGCCGCCAGTCTCCCCCAGGCCCAGGGCCTGGAGCGCCAAGCCCCTTGCTCCCTCCGCTGCTGTGGGACAGGGCATCTGCGCAGCCTTCGCCTCTCCCGGTCGCGGGGGCCTCGCGGAGCATGTCGGAGGAGAGCGACATGGAGAAAGCCATTAAGGTAAGGGGAGATGCTTCTTTTCTCCCCGCTTTGTCCCTGTGGCGTTCCTCTCGGCTCCAGCCTCAGAAAGGCGAGAGAACTTGCAGTGAGAGGTTCCAGGGGCTCCCGAGTTTCGGTCTTGCCGGGATTCCGTGGACTGCGTTTTACAGCCCTGGGGCGAAGGGTTTGCGTGTGTGCAGGGGGGATGTCCGACTTCTCCGACTAACTCGATTGAAGCGGGGATGTGACTTGTGCTGAGCTAGGACGGAAGGTGAGTGGCGTGGAGATACTTTATCTGAGTGGGACAGGGGGGCTGCTATCCTTTTAATCACTGCCCATGTGCGGCCGGCATGTTTCCGCATGACCTACTGCCACAGCACTTGGAGAGTTGGACTTTTACCCCTCCCTCCGATTTGTTTGAAACCAGCCTCCTGGAAATCTGCGGTTCGCCTTCCGACAAAACCTGTCATTTGGAGAATAGATTGTTCTCACTTTCCCGTGTGTTCCTCTCCCCTTTTCCTCTTTTCTCTCCCCTCTCCTCCTAGAGAGCATTGAGTTTTTTTAGAATAAAGTGCTAACGGTGCCCTGTGGCTTACTGCTCTGTTAAGCAAATATGTGTTCTAAAATGACCCAAATAAAATGACAAGTTTTCTAAAACTTGTTTTTTACTTTTCTTTTAAACAGGCAAACTTTGAGGAGCTAAGGCACCAAAGAGAAAGTTATCATCTAGCCGTAGCTAGGAAATTAGTCTTACAAATTGAACATGAAGTTTAAAGTGGGATAGGTATTTTTTGCTTATTTTACAGTGTTAAGTCAACTCAATGCATTTAAGACTTTATTTTTCTTTTGAGAAGCAGGCATCCATTAGCAACTTAGGATTATTTCCCCCTTCAAGACACAATCACTATTACCAGTAACTAGTTAAGAAGTTACATTTCTAACAGTTTTTTGGTTGGTAAAGTTTATAGAAATCATCAAAGAAACTTCATCTTTAAAAAGGAGGCATCAGAATATAATGTACACATTAAGGAAGTTGAAATTTTAAATACTAGAAATAAAGGTTCTGAAAGACTGCTTTGATATATCCTTTTTTTTTTTCTTTTTGGTTTGGATTTTATTGATACAGGGTCCAGAATTGTTGCCTAAAGTTATATGACTGGGTTGTGAATCAAAGCGTATGTGGCAGATTTTTAAATTCAACAAGTGTTGTCTACTTTGTGCCAGGTGCTGTCTTAGGCACTGGTGGTACAAAGCCAGCCTCTTGGATGTCCCCACTCATGGAGCATTTATTCTAGATGGTGGAATTAGGTAATACACATTGCCGAGGGGTTATAATGAAGAGGTATGAGAAGGGTGAGGAGTACTATTTTAGGAAGGGTAATCAGGAAAGGCCTGAGGAGGTGACATTTTTGTAGAGCTCTGACTCGAGGAAGAATATCGCAGGCAGTGGGAACAGCAAGGACAGAGGCATGATGTACCTGCACTTCTTTTGTAGCGAGGTGGTGAGAATGTAGTGGGTCTGTGTGGATTATGTTTTAGAGAGACAGTGGGAAGCCAGAGCAACATAGGGTCTTCTAGACCATTGTAAGAACTTCAGCTTTTACTCTGAGTAGAAGGGGAACTTTGGGAGAGTTTTGAGCAGTAGAAGGACATAGTTCTAGCAGGCAAATATAAAAATAGGGAAACAAGGTTACTTAGTGGTCGCAACTGTTTATCTTGGTAGACTCATGGGTTGAAATCTCAGCCTTGCCATTCATTAGCTGTGTCCTCATGTAAGTCAACCTCACTTCCCTGTCCCTTAGTTTCCTCACCCACAAACAGGAGATAAAAACACTCCCTGGTTCCCGGGGTGGTGGTAGTGGTGGTGGTTGTCATTGTTGTTTGAGGATTTAATGAGCAAATATGTCTAAATGTGCTTATGACAATAGCTAACCTTTAGTGAGAGCTTGATGAATAGTAGCTTATAGCAATTTAAGAGTAGTTTAGAGTCGTTATTTTCGTCACTTAGTCACTGTTGCCCAGTCTAATTTTCTTGTTTCTTGCCTTTCTTCACATACTTGACAGGTCATTGGTGAATTTTCCTACTAATTTGGATGTGCTCAACCAGTACAAATTAGTGGAGTTGAAAATATCTGAACTGACAACCAGTATTGACTGGGATGTTCTCCCTTGGAAGCAAGCCAGCATCACATCAAATAAAACTTTTGGTCTGTGGCATGGTGTCGTATTCATTGTTTGGCACTTTTGATGTTTCCCTCAGATGGTGAGAACTGAGACCTCTCAAGTTCAGCTGGAAAAGCTGTTTTCCTGGGCTCTAGCCACAGCGCCTGAACTTCTGCTCCCTGACTACCTGAGAGCAGGCCGATTGAGATTTTGACAGGGATTCCATTGAATCTAAGGGTCAGTTTGGGGACAGCAGCCATCTTAATGTTGTCTTCTAATCCATGATTAAAAATTTATTGACACTTATGATCTCGCATGTGGTTTATCCTGGAGAGTATTCCATGTGCACTTGGGAAGAAATACATATTCCGTTGTTGGAGTGTTCTGTAGATGTCGTTTAGGTCAGGCTGGTTGATAGTATTGTCTTCTGTATGTGTCCTTGCTGATTTTCTGTCTAGTTTTTCTCTTTGTTATTGAGAGTGGCGATATTGAAATCTCCAACTGTTATTTTTGAATTGACTGTTTTTCCATTAAATGTCAATTTTTGCTTCATGTGTTTTTGGACTCTTGTTAGGTGATGCGTATATGTTTATAATTGTCATATCTTCCTGATGAATTGACCTTTTTATCATTATAAAACATACCTCTCTTTTCTCTATTGACATCTTTTGTTTTAAAGTCTATTTTGTTAGTATAGCTAGCTCCTCCTGCTCTCATGGTTACTTGTGGTATATCTTTTTCCATGCTTTTACTTTTTTCCTTGTTTTATTGTAGTAAAGTACGCATAACATTAAATTTACCATCTTAACCATTTTTAAGTGTATAGTTCATTGGTATTAAATATATTATAACCAAAGTTCTGTACTCATTAAGCGCTAACTCCCCATTGCCTCTTTCCTGCCAGATCCTAGCAACCACCATTCTACTTTCTGTCTCTGTGATTTTGTCTATGATTTTGACTACCTTATGTAAGTGCAATCACAGCATGTCTTTTTATGATTGGCGTATTTCACGTTATGATGTTGTCACGTTATTTTACGTTATGATGTTGTCAAGGTTTATGTAGCATATTGCAGAATTTCCTTTTTAAGGCCGAATAATATTCCATTTTATGTGCATACCACATTTTGTTTATCCCTTCATCTGTCAGTGGACAGTTAATTTGCTTCCATGTTTTAGTTGTTGTGAATAATGCTACTGTGGAATTGGGTGTACAGATAACTGAAGACCATGCTTTTCATTTCTGTTGAGTATATACTCAGAAGTGGAATTGCTGGGTCCTGTGGTAATTCTATTTTTACCACAGGTAATTCTATTTTTACCACACTGTATTCCACAGCAGCTGTACCCATGTACATCCCCACAAACAGTGCACAAGGGTTCAATTTTTCCACATCCCTGTCAACACTTGTTATTTTGTTTTTTTCTAATAGAGGTGGTATCTCATTGTAGTTTTGATTTGCATTTTCTTTATGGTTAGTAATGCCAAATATCTTTTCATGTGTTTATTGACCATTTGTGTATCTTTGGAGAAACGTCTATTGCAATTCTAGTCCTTTGCCCATTTTTTAAATTGGATTTTTTTGTTGTATTTTAGGAGTTCTCTATATATTCTAGATATTAATCTCTTATCAGTTGTATGATTTGCAAATATTTTCTACCATTCCACGAAGTGCCTTTTGTACTCTGTTAATAGTGGTTTTTTGATGCACAAAATTTTAAAATTTCACGAAGTCCATTTTGTGTATTTTTCTTTTATTGCTCGTTCCTTTGGTGTCATATCCAGGAAATCATTGCCAAATCCAATGATGCGAAACTCTTGTCCTCTGTTTTCTTCTAAGAGCTTTATTGTTTTAGGTCTTACATTTGGGTCTTTGATCCATTTTGAGTTAATTTTTGTATATGGTGTTAAGGGTCTAACTTCGTTGTTTTGCATGTGGATATCCAGTGTCCCCACCACCATTTGTTGAAATCGTTTTGTTTTTAACATCTTTGCATCTTTGAATCTAAAGTGTGTCTCATAGGTAGCAT